GACTTCAACTCCCAGAATCCCCCAGCCAGCCAGCATTCTGGGAGTTGAAGTCCACACATCTTCAAGTTGCCAAGGTTGAGAGACACCGGCTTATAGGGTTCTACAGTTGTAAGAGCTGCCTGATATGACTTTGGTCAGTTCTTGGATGTGGATCACTTCTCAGATGTCGCAGCTGGATACTACTACTTTTCTGGAAAGGTTCCCTTTCATGTGAACAACACAGAAGTCCTAATGACAAGTTCCTCTTGAGGTGAGAACTTGAAGAGCTATCAAAGTGTTTCAATCTTCCCCAAAGAAAGATTAGTGGGGTTGATTTTTTCCCATTAGGACACATCTCCAGAGGAAAAGAGTGAATGACACATTTAAAAATACATGCCATCTTGGGTATCAAAACCAGAGGGCTGAATACTGATGCATACTTAAGGTATTTTTTTTCCTAGAAGCATGATGTACTTAAGAGAGTGTGCTTGGCCTAACCAAGAGGTTTTAATGCTTGAGAGGGACATTCTGAAGAACTCCCTAATTAATACAGACATAACCTGTCTGTAAAGTCTCCTACACAAACATCACTGAACTGAGCACAGGATCCGTGTTCCTGTGAAACTCCTGTGTCCTTTACCACCCTTTTGCAGAACCCTTTCTTAAACCTTCAGGTTCTTATTTGCCCCAAACCTGATGCTGGAGTGGGCTGCCTCAACTCGCCTCAAGGTAAGGTCCACTTCGGCACCCGGTGCAGTAGACTCTTGCTTTTCCCCAGAGGAAGATGATGGAGGCCCATCCAAAGCAATAATCTTTCACAGAGGGTGGAATTTTCAGGTACAGTATACTCAATAGGTACACTTTGGGCTTTTAAGATCTTTGACCCTGAGATCTAATGCCAGGTCTGCAGGACTGATTGGGTCTGCTCCCTTGTTTGCTTCTCCGGAATCAGAACCCTCTTGGTGGTACACGACCAAGTGTCATTACCTGAGAGTGTGGCTTTGCAAACAGCTGGCTGGCTGCCGATGGGAGATCTCCTAAGGGAGCAGAAAACAGGAAGAAGTTCAAGATCAGACATCAGCATCTCCCTTGCCACACAAAATATAAAAGGAGTTGAGTATCTCCTTCTTCTCACCCCCTGTTCAACAAGATACCACATTTGCATGCTTACAGGTAACAACTGCTCTCTTGATTATATGCCACAGCCCCAAGTTTGTCTTCCTTGAAATGATCGCTGTAAGATGGAAATATGGGGGTCTTTAAACATGGAATTGGGACAACCTCTTCTCTATGAACCTTTGAGAAATTGAGGGCTCTTGCCTCTGAAGAGCAGTAATTGCATTCAAGTCTTAAATATAGAAAGCTTCAAGCTATATATTTGACACAGAACTGGGGCTCTATGAAGGGCTAAAGAAGAAATGGAGAACTTGGGGCCCATCAGAAACTCTTGACTCCCAACTCCTATAATCCCTAATGAAGGCCATATTGTCTCAGGCTGATGGGAGTTACAGGCCAACAGTGTCTGTAGACCTGGAGGTTTCTCCTTTGACCGGCCCCTTTTAATATCATAGTATAGTAACACAGCGAATGTTCAAATGAAGTTGCTTTCCATTCTTGCAGTTATTCTAAAGTTTTGAACTCTGCCTCTGGCATTGATTAGTCAGTGACAGCAGTTTGACAAATGGGAGTGAATTGAAAAGAAAGGAACAAATGTAATCATACATAACATTACAGGATTTTTCCCTACTTCATAAATATGTTGGCATCTGTGGTCTAGCGAGGAAAGGTTACAATTATACTGACTTCAGTGGAGCACAAAAAAGGTCTAATAAGCTACTATTATTTTTCATGAATAACTAAGAGGTGGAAAACCTCTGGTCCACTACCAAATGTTACTGGACTGCATCCTTGGGTATCAAAACCAGTATGCTTGAATACTATCTGAGGAAAATGGGAACTAGAGTCCAAAGCCTTTTGAGGTTCACATGTTGCCTGTACTTAAAAGAATACATGTGAAATAAACTTTTGAATAGTAGGCTGTTAAAGCATTAAAGTAAAAACTTCCAGGAATGGCAAGAAGTCACTTTAGCACTAAACTAGACATGGTGGGAAAACCTCTGTCCCATTCCAATAAGGCCACAGTATGAATATTAAAAACAAAACAAAAACTTGCTGGCATTGACCAAGGACTTAATTAGTCCAACTTCTTTTTCCAATCCTGGGTTGAAGAAAGCTTACAAGCAACAGCCAACCTCACTGGTTTTTTGCCCTCCAGGAACTGGTATTCAGAGGAACACAATCCTAGCACCTGGGGGGTATATCTAGCTATTAGAGTGAATGACACATAGGATCTTCCATTCCAATAATCCTCTGTTAGCTATATGGACTAAGAAAACTGAGTATCACCTGCAGATACTTTCCTACCTAACTTAAAAGAAAAGATGGGAGTGGGAGTGGGAATGGACACACAGCTCAAACTGAATGTAGCAGATTCTGGGCAGCCTGTAAAAAACTGAAATTTTGCACACCAGTGCCCTAGGTCCTCCAAAAGCTGTTTATCCAATAGACATGAAGACTTGATATCTACAACCTGACTTCATAAAAGGCCAAGAAGCAATCACCAGTATTTTAAATCTCCAGCTTTGGTGGACACTTACTTATTGGATGTTGGTGTAGGAACGTTTGCCAGGATGGAGAAATTATTACGTACGCTCCTCAAGCTTGCCAGGACCTGCAGAAAGTACACGGACCAAGACTGTTAGAGCTACAACTTGTAAGCAATTGAATAATTAAAAAATATCAAAGTGAAGGAGTCTTCCTCCACCTAAAGGAATAGGGGCTGTAAAGGGAAGGTGGAGGCTTGAGCCAAGAGAGTTCTTTCCAGACAAAGTGGAAAAGTGTATGTTGTTGCTAATGTGACACAAAAGGACCACCCAGAGTCACTCTGTAGTGAGATGGGCGGTGACAAATTTGAAAATATAAACAAATAAATAAACAAAATTAACTTCCATTTCCATTCTTCCGGCAAAGAAAAGCTGTAGATTTCTTAAAATGATCAGAGGCTCAGTACATTTTGCATCAATAGAGACAAGGAGAAAAGAAAACTTGGCCATACTGATAAGTGGCTGATAGAAATACAAAAGATGGTATCAGCCTGGTGGTCTGCAACTCTTTTCATCCACAGACATACGGTAGCTAAGAAGGTTGTTTTAAGGAATCTGACTGGCCTCTGATAAAGGTGGCTTATTCAGTCACAACCCAGCAAGAAATGGAAGGTCTACTGAAATTTAGTAAGCTTTATGAACAGTTCTGAAATTAAGGAAAATAATCAAGACCAATCAAAACCCACCCATAGTTGACAAGAGTTTGCAAACTACAAATTAAGGCTGATTCAGAGTTTCAATAAACTCTGATTCCTTCTAGGAAGGAAGGAATGTTGGTTTGGAGAGAAGGAGGAAGGACTGGTATAAGAAAAAAGACATTCTTGGCCATCCATCCATCCCTCTCTACTTGGTTGCTAAACATCACATCTGAAGAAAAACTCTAGAGAACTTAAAAGTACTTTGTGGGATTTTTAGTAGTTTTGTTAAAGGTAGGATCCTCCCAGTGTGACTAGCAGATTTTTCTCAGGGGCTTGGGCCATACCTGGGCAAATGGTGTCACTATTAAGTCTTCAGCATGCCTGCAAAGGAGAAAAATGACAGATCTGTATTACTTGGGAGGGAGGGAGCAGAACAGAATCTGAACACAAGATTCTACTTCCCAACCACAAGTTAAAAGTGTTTAATGAGGGCAGAGGAAGCCCAGGTTCCAATCCTCACTCAACCAGGGAATTATTCTACCATAGGATAGTTTTGAGGACAAAACGGGAGAGGGGGAGGGGGGGGAGAAGAAAGTACTATGCACAATGCCATCAACTCCTTAGAAAAAAATAGGATAGAAATGGGAAGAAATAAAGAAATTAGCTAAACCTACACCCTCCCATACTCTGAACTGCACATCTTTCCTGGCAGGAGACTTGTATATGCTCAGAGAAAATAGGTCATTTTTGTTAAGCAGAAAAGTCCACTTTTGAGCCTTGAAACCATTTATATTTAAAGAAAGCCAACCAAAATGGCCATTAAGGCAATCCCAGCCTACATGCTGAATACCACTACTAACTTAACACTTTTTTCCCTGAATTGAATAATTTAAAACTTGGTTGCTGTGTTCCTTTAAAGCAGTGTTTCTCAACCTTGAGAAGTTTAAGATGTGTGGACTGGGTGGGGAATTCTGGGAGTTGAAGTCCACACATTTTTCCAGTGTTGGCCCTACCTCCTACTGTCCCAAAAGCAACTTCTCAAAAGGTAAGGAATGGCTCTACCTTTCCCAAGGCAGAATTTGCATTCTGGACATAGGTAGCCTTCCTACCCATTGCATCTAGATCAGTGTTCCTCAATCTCAGCAACACTAAGATGTGTGGGCTTCAAGTCCCAGAATTCCCCCAG